CTCCAACTTTAAGTTAGATACTGAAAAAAGATGGATTTATTAAGTTTTCATTCAGTCCATGGTATGCCTGTTTGGACCTATATAGTACTTAGAGTGAGTTGCTGGCTCAGGTGCAATGTCTCTCTGTAATTTCCCTCTGTTCAGATTGTGCCAAATCACGTGAGTTTCTCATAAGGCCCATGCTACATTTTTTCCTTTCATTTCATGGCCCATCTTCCTCGTACATTGTGCTTTCCAGCTCTGCATGTGTGCAAGTCCGAAGGGCTGGGCTGCCTCCTCCATTCCTGTCCATCCTTCAGCCCCTCGCTGTCCTGCGGGGTCCAGCGCAACTTGTAAAGCTGCTGTTGGAAAAAACAGCTGCCAAATTCCACTCAATTTTCCAGAGTGCATTGATAATAAAGCCTCATGGTTTCTGGTAATGTTTCTACAGTATGCTTTTTGGGATACCTCCCAAGTTAAAATGTACTAGGAGGAGCCTCCTACCAGGTTTTGCAGATGAAGGAGTGCTTTTCTAGCCTTGCCTTGGTATTTCATGTAATAGCATACTGGATAGACTAAAATGGGTTGAGTAGCTATGAGATGCAGACATAGATGGGGACTATAGATCAATGTCATTGACTTAAAATGGTTTACCATGCATTTTTCTTTCAGCTATCATCGCACCTTCCCAGAGGTTTAATTCTGGAGCTGGGATGGCCAATAACAAAACTGCCTGAAGCTTTAATCTTACATATGCTCGTGCATGTTTAACTTCTTTATGTGCAATTACTTTCCAGTACAGTGAAACTTACATAAAGTTAAGGGCATATACATGTTTCTGAAGGATCAGGGTTCAATGTGGGTTTTGAATGAGAGCAGTTTTTCACTAATACTCTTTGGTTGTTATCATGTGTAAAATATATATGTATGCAGTGTGGTATAGCTTATGATGTGGTTCATAGTATTTGCCAAATCAAACATAATAGAATCATAGAATCATAGAATGTTTTGGGTTGGAAGGGACCCCTAGAGGTCATCTAGTCCAACCCCCCTGCAGGAGCAGGGACACCGCTAACTAGATCAGGTTGCTCAGAGCCCCGTCCAACCTGGCCTTGAATGTTTCCAGGGATGGGGCCTCCACTACCTCTCTGGGCAACCTGTTCCAGTGTTTCACCACCCTCATTGTAAAGAATTTCTTCCTTATATCTAGCAAATTACTACATACAAGTAATGAATGTTTTTGAGCAAGAAGGTGTATAAGGTAAGAATTACGTGACCAGGAGCTGTTGACTGGGATGGAGGTGGCACTTGGAGTAGTGGTGCTGAGACTGCTGCCCAGGCCAGCTGCAGACAGGTGGTGAGCTCCATTTTACACCAGTAAGTGTTTGGCCAAGACTCCCCTGACTGGGAGGACTCTCCAAAACCCTCCCTCATTGACAGGGAGCGTCTTCTGCTTTCCAGCCTGGTGCTGCGCGTCGCCAGTTTATACCTATTTGTTCTTGTGCCAACACCGCTCTTTAATTTAAACAGCCTTTCCTTGAGTCTGTCCCCTTCACACAGTAATAGAGCTATTACAGCTTTCAGTGCGCCAGACTAAACAAACCAAGCTCTTTTAGGCTATCTCATAAGGTAGACTCTGCACTCCTATTTTATCTGAAGAGCCCCATCCCTCCACCTGTTCCTGTTGTCTTGCTGAACCCACCTTGCACACAGCTCTCCAAACCAGCTCTCGCCTGTGCTTTAGCTGGTTATATTATTATATTATATATTATATGTTATATATATATTTATATATATAAAATAATATACTATTTAGCTGGCAGTAATGTCCCCCAGTATAACAAAGGTGCATTACAATGCATGGATACAGAGGGACAAAGTTTGTGCTGAGCAGGGGTTTGATGTTACCATTTACTGCCTGTGGGACTTAAAAATACAATATGGTATTATATATAGTAGCATTTCCTGGGTTTGAGTTAAAGACTTGGGAATAAAGCACCAAATTCTATGACATGGAAGTATTTTGTTAGGTACCATCAGATTGCACCGTCCCAAATAAGGAATGGGATGTGCAGTAGGTGCCTCCCCAACATTGCCCAGCTAGCAAAAGCTCCTTAAAAAGTAAAGTGGATACTGTTAAAAGCAGTACTTTTCACAGTGTGTAAGCCTGCCATGCAGAGAGCACAGATCTGTCTGCTGAGTGTCCAAAAGGTTTGGTTTGCCTGTGGGCTGTAGATGATAGATGGGTGAGCAAAGGCAAGAGCATCAAACCTGTATTTATCCAGAACCGATGGCTGCAGTATCCAATACAGACAGTGCATCGGGGCTGCAGCTGCCATCCCAGCGCAGAGGCTGCAATGGCTACTGCAAAGCAGGGGGGGTTGCACAGTAACCCCAAATCCTGGTCTCGAGCAGGTTCATCGCTCCTCATCTGCCCAGCCATGTTTTCGTGTTAAACAGACAAGCTGAGCAAATAGACCTGGTTTTATCCTCAGCACACTACACAAGGGCACTTGGCTGTATTCACTGTGCGTGATCACGGAATATTTCAATATATGGATAAGTATGCCTCCTGCGCCACAGCCTACCTATATTCCACGTGTTACTAAAAAGTCCTCCAAAATCACAGCTACTGTAGTGTATGTGTATGAAGTACGATTTTTCAAAGGCTCAAAACTCATTCAAATCAAAATCAATTTGCAGAGGAACCCTCAAAGGCACTTCTTCTCAATGAGGGAGGTTTCCCTACCACATTTCAAATTTCAGCTCTAACCATTCCAGAGACAGAGTCGATCCAAAAGAAAAGCGAGAAGAATGTTATTTTAAGCGTGTGCGTTTTCCACTCCATGGATACTCAGAAAATGGCTGAATGATTTATGAGAGGGTTTTTTTTTAATATTTAAAATAGTGAGAAAAAAGATGAATCTAGAAAACGTCAAACATAAAAGTGAAGATTTCTAAAAATGGTGGATAAGCGCTTGTAGATTCACATCCAGGCTATGGCAACTTCAGGTAAAATATCCTCAAGATATGAAGCCAAATATTTAAATCTTTTATAAAATTAAAGAATACTTGGGAAACAATTTAATAAAGCGCATGGGTACATTATAGTAAATGTACTGTGCAGTTACAAGAATTAAGATCCTTTGTTTTACAAATAAAAAGGGAAAGTAATATTGTGTTTTAAAGGACTGAAAGCATTGAAACCAGACATTTCTATAGCAGCTACGGAAACAAGATGCCATGGAAAATTGGTGTCGTTGAGAAAGCAGATGTGGAAAAAAGAACAGCAAGGAAGTAGTCAGTATTTTGGGTTTTCTAGGAACCTTTGAGTGCTCGTTTCTACTGCATGCGTTATTTAAAACCTTTTTCTCTTTTAAAAAAAGGTCCAGTTATCAATAAAGTATAACAGACAGTTCTGTGTTTTGTACAAAAGCAATGCATTTGAAACCTCCAAGATTTCATTGAAACGCTTGGCTGCAATCACATTCAGTAAATATGAGAAACTATCTTTGCTTTTTTAACGGGATGTTATGTTTGATATTTTAGGTTGGCATGACAACTGAAGAAATAGATTCCATTGTTCATCATGAAATAATCAGACAGAATGCCTATCCGTCACCTCTGGGCTATGGAGGTTTTCCAAAATCTGTTTGTACTTCTGTAAACAACGTGGTATGTCATGGTATTCCTGACAGGTATTTCCCCAATAATATATATTTTACCACCGGGAATGAAAATGTTAAACTGAAATTAATAAATTGTGTTTAATATTGAACATACTTCAGCTTAACTAAATGTCATATCTAAACGTATTGCAGATGCATATCATGTTATCATACAATGCTGACAGATGTTACAGAAATGTATGTGAAACAGAAAAAAATATTACTGTTTGTCCAGACACTTAACAAAAAATAGCATAATGCCTTTAGAATTTAGTGTGTAGAAAAAAAACCCAAAACAATACAGTCTGATTTTTTTTCCCTCCAGCAAAATAAGTATAGGGTAAGGAATAAATGTATTTGAATTTATGTGGGGTTTTTTTTTATTTGCAATACATTCAGCTACTCACAAAGTAAAATCTGAACCCTAGTGAGAGAAAAAGAATAAACATAATGGTAGATTTTTCAGGTGTTGATATGTTTTTCTCGTAGTTGTTTCTCATTATTTTATATTCAGCTACACCTGTTCTCTATGTAGTGAGAGCTGAACATTAAAAATGGTTATTCTCTTTGCCTCTGCCTTCCTCCATCACAAAATATCTACCCCCTGATTTTTTATGTATGTGTCATTAGGTGTTTATTCTTATATTGCCTTTGTTGGGAACTGTCTGTCACTGTTTGGTTTTTTTTTTCTGTTTATGTTTCAGTCGACCTCTTCAGGATGGAGATATTATCAACATTGATGTCACGGTGAGTAATTCATATAAAAAATAGTCTTTGATCAACTTTAGAATCACTCATAGCAACAGGAAGAATAGTGGATTGGAGATGGGGGATGCACAGATGGATGTGCTGTTTACTTCTGAGCCAAGGCACAAGCAGCTGGTTTCCTTTTTTGTTTTTAACTGTGTGTTTATTCCAGCTAGACCCAGGCCTGACTTGAATTTAGGACTGGAATCAGATGCACTGAGATCAATGTTGGCCTAAGTGAAATGTCAACCCAATCCTGCTATGTGTCATGTTTTTGAGAAGGTGTAATTGTTATTGATCCACTGTGTAGTTAATGCAGAGCACCACAGTACTGGGCAGCAGCTGAAGATAGATATGTATGAGATGAGCTAACATGAAGAAAGCCAGCATTTTTCCTTCACTCTGCCAAGATTGATCTTCCGGGGGCCTGTCATTATCTTACTCTGTCATTAGAGGCTACATTGGCCTGTGTATGTCAGTCTATTTGGACAGCAACTCTTTTGCTAGCAGTGTTCCCTACATTTATTAAAATCCCCGAAGGTAGTGTTGTGTTCCATTTCTGGTATAAAAGCCCTGAACCTTTTGCGCAGAAACAGAAATAGTGTGATATAACCGTGACTTAATATTTCCAGAGAATGGTCAATTATAGCTATTTAAATAAACGCTGGCTGGATTTTCTTAGGACCAAGAAAGTATGGAAACTGGAAACCTAATTCTCATTTCATTTATGAAAAAAAAAAATTTCTCTTGCAGAAGCTTTTTTTCTTTTTACCGTGCATGTTTTTATTTTCCCAAAGTGCCGTTTATTTCCAATATGAATACAGACGTCTTTTGAATCCCACCGTTACTTTGCAATAATATGTCATATGCAAGGGAGTAACATCTCATAAAAACAAGCTTTTCTAATCATTACAGAAACTCTTGGTAACTTGATACTATTTTCCATGGGCCCAAATTTCATACTGGCAGAAGCGAAGAAAACTCCAGCAGACCTACCTCTGAGCATGAGATCCAAGCTTTCTAAAATATTTTTTCTATTAAAATTAGGGTCAGTGACCTTTTTCCCATGGTATACTCACGTGTGATACAGATCTGGGTTGGGTTTGGTTTGGTTTTTTAATCTTTCTAAATTCTTCCTCATCTCCATACTTTCTAATTGTAGAATTCTGGCTATCAGGTTTACGCAGCACAATCTGTCATTTAAAAAATGTATTTTTGGCCTACATTTCACTTTGGTGAACTGTTGTAGTGGTGCTCGTTTTATTAGACTAAATGAGTTTGCAACAGCTAAGGATTTAACATCTGATTTCTTTGTATCTCATTAAGGGTAATTTTATTTTTTTGTTTCATCTGTCAGGATAATAATAATGACACCTTAGATTAAAAAAAAGTGTAGATTCATATCACAGATACCTTCCATGGTAAACTAAACTAAACATTTTTATATTGACGTGGTGTGCATTTCTTGTCCACTCTGCTTTACAAATAATGTCTAACTGGTCTTTTTGAAAACATATTTTTATTTGTTTTCTGTTTACCCTCATAAAATAAAATAAATCTTGACATTTCTGTGAATGTGAGGATTCCTGCAAAGATGGGAATTGCTGATTATCTTTATAAGGGTTTTTTTATCATTTAAAACTGAACTGAGCTGTGTTTGGTAATTGCTCAGTTCCAAAATAGCTGAGGAAAAAAATACTACTTTTCAGCATTGCTAGCTGATCTTTTAGCTTATTTGTAACGAGCAAAACTGGGACGTTTCACAGATGGACAGAATAAAAATCAAAGTAAATTGCACAACAAATTGTTTATAATTGTGTACAGGTTCTATAAAATTATTAAATAATATTATGGTTATTAAGTGTAAACACCTCACACTATGTACAAATTATATTAAGAAAAAATCCATTTTTGCACAATTAAGATGGTAGAATTTCATAGATGAAATACAAATTTTATTGGCTTGAATCATATAGCCTTTAACATGTAATTTAGTGTAGAAACAATAGCCTTATCTATCCCTGAATCCTCAGCCTAGTGCAATTTTCAGCCAGCCATTACCAGGTTAATGTTTCCTACAGTTTGGTTCTTTCATTGACTTTTAAGGAGTTAGTGTGTTACAGTTGCTGTCGTTGTAGCTTATTAATGTCAAAAATATGTAATTGCAGTTGATGGGCTGCAGTAAATATTATTATTTTTAAGCTCTACTATGTTTTAAATCTACATTTGTTTTTCCAGGATGATGATGTTTAATGCTGGGGTTTTGCATGTTGTACTTGCTAGAGCTAAAGATGAAGTAGCTCAGTTTAAATGTGAACTAGCTAGATTAAAACCTGCCCAATGGGCATTAAATTAAAAAAAAAAGAAAAAAAAAGTGGCAGTCTGGGCTGGCAGAGGAAGGTGTAGAGCAGGGAATTGCAGCCACTCTCCGATGGAGTGGTGGCAACACAGTTGGGCCCTTGCTGGCGCTCACCTTTCTTTAAAACACCACTTGCTCCTAACTGCCTGTGTTTTCTTCACATCTCGGCCTGAACACAAACCTGGCCTTGGGATAAACTGTCTTTTTTTTTTTTTAGTTTGGAACTGACCAAAAAGAATGTGAGTCTGTCTTTCACAAATAGCTCGCCAGTGGCAAAAGTTCAGTGCTTCGAACTTTGTGAGTTATTAGTCCTAGAAAGATAGTTCCCACTGTTCGGGGGAAAAAAAATGTTTTAGAACATCAAAAATATTAAAAAAAAATGTAGGTGTCCAAACCCACTAAGTATATGGCAAGTACAAGACTTCATGCTGCAGTTTGGAAAGATTTTATATGAGAAAGCTTGTATTGTGAATCTAAAAATTACTTAATTTAACCCTACAGTGCTGATCTGAGACATGGCACATCCTGCTTGCTTAAAACCTATTAAAAGTAAAAAAAAAAAAAAAAAAAAAGACGGTACAATTAATTCAACAGGGTGCTACATTTTCAGGACATGAAACTGCAATGCCAGAACGGCACATTTATTCTCTTTCAAAATTTATCTTTGGAAATCATAAGTAAAATCCAAAGTTAATGCCACACTGTAGTTTAAAAATGAGATTAAACATGCAATGGCAGGCGCTGGATTTGGCCCGTGCTTTCCATGGGGCTCCCTCTGGACGTTGGCAGCAGCACGTGCCTCTCGCCCAGCTCACAGCATCACCTCAAAACCCCGCCGGGGATGCTGGCTGGAGAGGGACGGGTCCCCCTGCTGGCTGCCGTGCAGATGAGTCTCCCAGCACCCATGGCCAGCAACAGAGCTTGATGCCCTACCCCTGCAGTCTGCAAGCAGGTCCCTGGCCCCAGAGGTGGGCAGCTGGGGCAGGTGGGCACCCAGGGGCCCCCAAGGGCCTCTTCAGCCCAGCACGGCCCCCACCCATCTTCTTGCATACAGTCCAGTTAACCTCATGTCTCGTGGTTGAGCAATGTCATCGTCTGGCGCACTGCTGGGCAGAGATGCACAACTTCTGCATTTCTGGAACTCTTAATTGTCAACCCTTGTGCGCCTTGCAATCTTTCACGCCTTTTTTTTCCACCACCCCCCCGCAATGTTTTGCTTTTCCGGTCTCATTCTCACAAATACAGCTTACCCGTGGTCTGTTTGTTGCAATATATAGCTCGATCTTAGAAAGAATGGATTTAATAAAGGAGACGATCTGTTTCTGAATGGAAACCGAGAAAATGTCTTTACATTTCTGCATATGTTTAGGTGTATTACAATGGCTACCATGGTGACACTTCTGAAACCTTTTTGGTGGGCAATGTGGATAAATCTGGTCAAAAGTTAGTGGAGGTTGCCAGGAAATGTAGAGATGAAGCAATTGCAGCTTGCAGACCAGGGGCTCCCTTCTCTGTAATTGGAAACACAATCAGGTAAGCCTTATATTGACAAGTAAAGGGAGGGCTGGCAAGTGGGACAAAGGTTATTGGTGGTTTGGTATAAAGCTGATGACATGTTTTATGATTCAAAACCATCATTTCAGTCTGATATAAGTATGTGAACTGCCAAGCTATAATGTTGTTCTTTGGGTAAGAGATTTATTTTTTTTTAAAGTGAATTACACTAGGGTCAGCAAAGATAACTGTAGGAAGAGTCAAAGATATTCATAAGGACGGTAGATTTCAATTAACAGATGTAATTTGCAGTGGATTTTTGTTTATTTTTTATTTGTGTGCGAAAGCACACCACATCTGTCTAACGATCTAAGAAGGTTAGAAACCATTGTTTTCATTGTATAGCAATAACGAACGTTACAAAGGAATTAGTCAACATAGATAAGTCTCTTTGTTTAAAAAGTACAAAAATATTTAACTCAAGAGCTTCTGATCTTACAAAGAGCAGTGCATGCTAATGTCACAGGGAAAAAAGAGCTCACATTCAGAGATTTTTCCCTGTTTTGCATCTCTTCGAGCCTTCGCATAAATGCAGTCATGACTCTTCTTCTGCTGGCAGTTTTGACTAAAAATACGGCTTAGTTTTTTGAAAGTACCTATGGATTATTTTAAAATGTTTGCCAAAAAAAATAGACATACATCGAATACATTTCATTAAGCAATACTTCACTGGACTTTTAATGGTCCCAACATGCTATTGAATACATTCTGATTACTTAAAAGCTGCAAGGCTTAGTCACCTTGAAAGGATGCTGCTTTTTTTTTCTTTGTAAATCTTCAAATACTTTAAGGAAAAAAGAGAACGGCAAAATATCAGTTAGATGTATTTATAGCTTTAAAAATATTGTAACAGAGTCTGAATCAAACTTTAGTAAAACCTCTTTGGGTTATATCTGAGAAGCTTTTATTGAAGACTTTGTATAAAATTGTGTTTTTGACAGTTTTAAATTATAGGCTAACTAGCCTGGAGAAAAAGGATAGTGTCTTTCTGTTCTTTCATAGGAAATGTTGAATCAGACCCCTACTGGGAAAAGAAATTTAATGCATATCTCACTATCTTACTGTCCATGAATATAATAGAAGTGAATTCAAAATGTAGTTTTATTTTTGCAAATGGGATGAGTCGATAGATGCACCTCATATTTTTGAACACCTAGGGTTCAACAAATTTACTGGTGGTGCTCTTGCATTTTAACAAAATTTATTCTTGAGTAGAAGGGGGCACAGAACACTGGATTCTTATTCAAGCATTCTATCGAGCTCTGCATTCATGGCTGTGTCTAAAGGGCATGTCAGCCTTTGATTCTCTCTGAGAGGTAATTATCCTTTTCCTGTCACGGAACAACAAATGATAGCTAACTACAGAGGCACATTTGCAGTAGTCACATTCATCAACTGCAGAAAAAAAATTCAATTTAATTGTGCAACACAGCTGCACATAGGCTTTTTGAGCATTTCTGTTGTTCTCCCTGTCTTGCTATTCCTCCCTCCAGATCTATTTTTTAAACTTTTTTTCTGGTTATTTTTTCCCCCTTTTTGTCTCTTCTTCCATTTTTACTCTCTGTACTTTCTTGTTAAAGTAATTTTCCTTTGTGGCTCTCATTCTTTTTTCCCCATTGAAGGCTATGAATGTAGAAAATTATCACAATTACTCATATAATTGAGCCTCTTTGTAGCAAGTGCAACTCCAGTAGCCTTTCTCCATCATGAAAATGGTTTCATTATAGGGTTTTTCATATTCTCTGACACCATCTACACAGAGGAACAGGCGTGCAGATGAGATGTACTAGGAACAGGGTAGATCAGTAAGGTCACAGTAGGAATAATTAGCTCTGCTATGGAAAGAGCATCTAGGCCTTTTACTGCTACATAAATGTACTGTCCGTGGCTTTTAGTCACAAAAAAACTTACTAACAAATGGAGCTCCCGCCTACTACTTTGAAAAAAAGATTTGTATCAACACTACAATTTTCCATCATTAAGACTAATAACACAGAGCCTAGTATACATCAAGGGGAATAAAAAGAAAAATCTCACATTCAAGTGGCGGCTGGGTGCTGACCTTTGTTCCCTTTTTTTGTGTTCAACTTAACTCTTTACAAAAAAGAGCCACACGCCACACCAACATGCAGGTGAACTCCAGCTAGTGCTAGCAAAGCATGGCATTCAGTTGGAAAATCTGATAAATCTCCATGCAGGATAATGCATTTCATTACAGATTCACTACATTAATTCTAGCTGTATTAAAAAAAAAAAAAAAAAAAAAAAAGAGGTCAGTTTACTTGCAAAATGTAAATATATAGTCAGCGCCCCCTTTGAAAAGCAGATTAATCGAAGCTAGTAGGTGTTCAAAACTACATATGAAATAGCAGGTCATTAACTTTATTTCTCAAGATTTTATCGTGTAGATGATTTAAATGTACTGATTTGTTTAGAACTACTTTAACACTGCCTCTGCTGAAAGATCACCTTGGTTTGGTGAAGCTGCATGTTTCTGGTGATTTGTCATTTGACATTTGCATGCAGGCAGACGTACATACATAATACATATATCAAAACGTTAAGTTTCAGGAGAGTTATATGTCATAAATACCTGAGAACAAGCACCTACAAGCTGAAAACATTTAGGCCTATCAGAATGGAAATGCGTCTAGTTTTCTGTCATCAATATATTCTACAAAGATACTCAAGTGATAATGCAGAACGTATCTTAGGCACAAATAATCAGAATATTTCCTTTCTACAATAGGTTTGGGAATAATTATATTGCAGAGGTAAGTTTGCATTCAGTATTCTAACATAGTCTTTGTTACGGAAGCTCGGTAGCTGATACTGAGTATTTCTTGGATAGCAGTTCCTTCTCTCATCAGCTACAAGTTGCAAATAAAAGATTGCATGGATTCATGAGTTACTTTGCTTAGAAAAATTTGAATCTTTCCTAACATATTCTTATTGAAGGTGGTGGCAAAACTGTCGGTCAGCTCCAGTGGAAACAGAATTGGGCCCTAGGTTCCATTTTCTTCTACCATTTATGACATTTCTCTTTCAGACAGAAACAAATCTAGTTTGAAATCTACTTTTGAGACAGTGATTTGAGGTACATGGAAGTGTTGTGAGTGTAGAGAGCTAAGAACAGAATTGAATGTGACATTGGATTTTTGCTGTGTTGGTACGGAGGTCAGTTTACTTGCAAAATGTAAATATATAGTCAGCGCCCCCTTTGAAAAGCAGATTAATCGAAGCTAGTAGGTGTTCAAAACTACATATGAAATAGCAGGTCATTAACTTTATTTCTCAAGATTTTATCGTGTAGATGATTTAAATGTACTGATTTGTTTAGAACTACTTTAACACTGCCTCTGCTGAAAGATCACCTTGGTTTGGTGAAGCTGCATGTTTCTGGTGATTTGTCATTTGACATTTGCATGCAGGCAGACGTACATACATAATACATATATCAAAACGTTAAGTTTCAGGAGAGTTATATGTCATAAATACCTGAGAAGAAGCACCTACAAGCTGAAAACATTTAGGCCTATCAGAATGGAAATGTGTCTAGTTTTCTGTCATCAATATATTCTACAAAGATACTCAAGTGATAATGCAGAACGTATCTTAGGCACAAATAATCAGAATATTTCCTTTCTACAATAGGTTTGGGAATAATTATATTGCAGAGGTAAGTTTGCATTCAGTATTCTAACATAGTCTTTGTTACGGAAGCTCGGTAGCTGATACTGAGTATTTCTTGGATAGCAGTTCCTTCTCTCATCAGCTACAAGTTGCAAATAAAAGATTGCATGGATTCATGAGTTACTTTGCTTAGAAAAATTTGAATCTTTCCTAACATATTCTTATTGAAGGTGGTGGCAAAACTGTCGGTCAGCTCCAGTGGAAACAGAATTGGGCCCTAGGTTCCATTTTCTTCTACCATTTATGACATTTCTCTTTCAGACAGAAACAAATCTAGTTTGAAATCTACTTTTGAGACAGTGATTTGAGGTACATGGAAGTGTTGTGAGTGTAGAGAGCTAAAAAACATAAACGTGATAGTTAAATAAACCAATTTCCAACTCCTAAGTAAAAATAGTAGTGATGAAAGTATTAATAAATGGTTTAAAATGTTTAACTCATAAGTATATGTTTTGATATTAATTTAGAACAATATAAAGCAGATTTTAAAAAAAATCTGTTTCTATCAGATTATGCACATTTAAACAATAAGTGGCTCAGGCAAAATAAGTCATTTTAATGTCATCTGTGATAGATTTTCCTTGACAGCTACTGTAAATTACAATTACACTGCTTCTCTCTGCACTTGAAAGTAAGCATTGCAATAAATTATCTTTTATTTCAATCCATCATGTCTGCTTTCAGAAACAGAGAACCTCAAATAAAAGTTCAGCACTATTGTAAGAAAAATACAGTAATTTGTGTTCCAGTTTGAAACTAAAATGTACCTTTCTTTCAAAAAACAATTGTTGGCTTTCAAAAATATTACTAATTATACCTCAACATTTATTGTCATTATAGGGAATCCCTGAACTTGTGCATTCCCTCAGTCTAGGATTAGTATTTAAGAGAAAAACACTTTCATATTTTCCCAGTAGAATTTTGTCTTTTCTCAAATTCAATAATGTGGTACTATTCAAAATTAATATTTTTATCGCAAGCAAATCTCTTTTAAGGTGGTGCTGTTTTCAAGAATTAAAGAAAAAAAAAAAAAGGCAAACATGCCATTCAGTGGTCATTTTGCTAACAACATTTTTAAGAAAAACGTGATTATTTCTAACTGGGAAAAAAAAAAAACAAAACGATGCATTCGTGTGGTTCCCTAAGTAAGAAGACAATTATCATAGGTCTGTTACTGCTTTCAGTGTTTCCTAAGCGTATTCACTGCCCAGAGGTGTAAGACAAGTTTGTTTAGCAACTGTAGCCATTCATATCAAGCTGCTTTGCAAGACTGTTGATGATAAAGTTTCATCCCTGGGGAGAGGAGCTGGCACTGCGCGGGTAGCATCCCTGGCTGGGAATTGGTTCACCGGGATGTTCAGCCTGGGTAGCCAGGCAGCCTGTGCCATCTCCTCTTCCCTCGTGCCACCAAGAGCCCAGAGAGGCAGTTGCTATCAATGCTGAAAATGAGATTTGTTTCACTTTGTATTCTTTGGTGAGGGCTTAGAATACTGGGCCAGATCTGCCTTGAGGAAAAAGTGACAAAATTCGGTAAAAATAAAATGCAGGTTTGGGGGTGGGGTCATTCCCCCCCCCAAAAAAAAAGGAAAAAAAAAGGGGAGTTCCAGTCCTAAGACTGAACGACTGGTTTTTCCTGTGGAGTTGGGATGCCTGTTATCCCATAGACGCTCCTAGAGGCTATCTGCACAGGGCCAGCCCCCTGTGGAAATTCTTTCGACCTGCTTTTCAGCTTCTTAGCAGGAGGGATTTATCCCATTCACCCAAGAGCTCTTTTCAGGGGAGGCTCCAGAATATTGGGGAGAGCTTTATAGAGAGTCGGTCCTGCCTGTTGCTGCTTTGTGGCATTTTCACTGTTGGGCTGCTGGCAGGATGGCAATGCACATCTCCACATTTATCCCTCCTTTTGGAGAATTAGCTGTCGTCTGGCCGCATGGGAAGAGGATGCTCGGGAGGCAACTGACACCCAACTCTCCTGTCTCTGTTCACTCTCAGAAGCATGATACCACCATACGAGGGGCTCTGCCTAGGGGTTTAGGTGGACAGCCTGGCCCTCAGTGATGTTCCTTTACCAGCTGGGCCACTGCTGGACCATCCTGACACCAGACGCTTTGCCTGGCTTTGCCATCAGCAAAAGAGGAGCGGCACTGCAGGTACTCTTGACTCCGCAGCCACTGGGCTGGAACACATGGCAGCAAAACATAAAATCAAGTACTGGGCTCATTAAATGATTATGCTTTTAATCCTGCCCAATTCACCTCTGCCCAAGCATGCAACGTGGCTCAAAGAGTAAAATGTGTGATGATAAATGTTGTCAATGGCTATTTTTAACAACCATTATTCTGAAGAATCTTTTTTCTCTTTCTTGATGCTGTTGGTGCAGCGTGGCTCTACTGCCCCAGCCTTTGTTCTGGAAGTGACTTGGCTGGGGGAAGCCCCACGGCCAAGGGGAACTGGCAGACTGGCACATTCACCCAGCAGTGCAGTTCTCCTTTCCCACGGCAGATGCCAGGCAGCCCAGCTCAGCCGTGTCGACTCCTGCCTCCCGCCTTTACTGCTTTCCCCCTTGCAATCAGGACTCCTCCGGCTGCCTGATCTTACGCTGCCTGTCTGCAAGGAGCAGCGCGTGGAGCTGGGGCTGCAATCTTGAAAGGTTGTGCCTTCCAGGGAAGGCTGGAAAGAAAGGCCACCGCCAACAGATCCTGAGCAGGGCAATGAGACAGCAAGACCAAAATGTTGAGCTGTTGTCAGCAGCAAATGGCAAACTTGGGCAAAAATGCTCCACTCCATGACATCCTGATTTTGTAACCAGATTCCACAGCCCAGGAGTCCTGGAGGCCAGAGAGGCTGGCCAAGATCAACAGTTCACTCTTCTCGGAGCTCTCTCTCAGTTCTCCCTGCCAGCATTTACAGCCAACATATACATGTGCATTTACAGGATTACCTTTGCAAGTTGTAGCTGGGGTTAGTAGCTTTGTTTCTTGTGAAAGCTGGATGTTTCACTATAACTCCACAAGGATATAAGAGCTCACTAGGATTTTTTAATTACTCCAAAGTAAAGCTAGTAGTTTTGGACTGAAATTCCCCATGAGGTGCTTCTGAAGCACATGCAAATACTGAAACCAGATTAAACGTGGCTGAGTTTCATACCTGAAGCTTATTTTCTCCATGGGTTTTCTCTGTGTCACTTCAGGTTCATTGGCCACGTTACCTCTTATGTAAGGAATACCCAAGCTCTGTATGGAGACATTATTAAGTCTAGGGGGGGGCAGGGGCATCTGTCAGTGCAGATGTCAAAGCCCTGCGAGCTCCAAGATCCCCTGTTTTGATCACAAGACAGTAACCACTGAGGTACTGATGCCAACAGAGTTGTTTTCAAGCTGTTTGGCAAGAAAGCAGCAGAATTCACCATTGAAACGCATAAGAACCACTTCTTTCACCGCGCGAGGACAGAATGCTGTCTTAACGCTGCCTTCTGTGTGCCCCAGCACTCGCACGCCCGGTGCCCAGCACGCAGCTGCTGCGGCTGCCACCCTCCTCGGCTCCAGCTGAGCGCTGGGGCAAGAGCTTGCCCTGCCCGCAGGAGAGTAGGTAGCCGTGGTGCTGGGGAAGAACAGCCTTCTGTCTTGCTACAGAAGGTGGATTTTGGGGGTGGGGGTGGTAAAAATCCTGTAATAATGCAAATCATTTCGAAAAATTACCATGCTCTTTCAGTGGGCTGGGATACCGAGTAAGGACGTCAGCAAAGCCAGTGGGATTGGTCATGCTTTTGCAAAAAGACTTGCAGAAGAAGGTGAAAGAAAAGCTTATCACGTGTTCCGTGGACAGCTTCTCCCATCTCTCTTCAGAGAATTGCTTCACCTGTATGGGAATCATTACCCACATTGCTCTGGGCTTGGTCACCAGAGATCTTCCGTTTCGTTCTGTGTATGTTTCTGAGTAATCTCACTTTTTAACTCCTCACCATTCCCTGTGCTTCCTCCTTGGCCTTCAGCATCGTCATAGCCAGTGGACTGAGTCTCTGACCCAGACGTGGGTGACATGATAGAAAGACACAGGAGAAAGACTTTTCCATTGCTGTAGGACTTTTTCTCTGCATAAACCTTCATGTCTTTTTCCCATATAAATTATGTGTAAGATAAAAACCTGGACTTCGAATACAACCAAATGAAGCCAAATTTCTAGCCCTATTGGTAACCCTCTTTGCTGGTACTTAGGAATTTGGGGGCAGCTATACTTGAAATTTCCATTCTTCTCCAGAGTTAATGAAAGAAGTGTGATGAGTCTTTGTATCAGGGCGATGGTAGGTAAAAGCTAATACACAAATCCTATTAAAACATGCTCTTAAGGTCTGAACACTGCAGCATTGTTAACCATTGACCCAACTCTCCTCTCTCATTGCTGTTTCACTGTGGTGGAGCACCATGTCCCTCAATTGCAGTGGCATTAAATTCTGGGACGGTGACCTGTGGGCACTGGAACCAGCACTGCAGGGTCTGTGGATCCTGGTGTGCAAAGGGATTACTGCATACAGCAAGCTGAGGCTGCTTTGGACCTGAATAAAAGGCTCCTGATGGGGTTTAAAACACGCTTTAATTTCTCTGAGAGCTTACACCTTTATTTGAGTTCCTTAACTTTTCCGCCTTTCCACCTGTAGTCAAACTCTGAGAAAGCATTTGTTAAGTTGTAAACATAGGCAAACCCGAAGTTTTTAAGTGCCTACCTTGATTTAAAACAAAACAAATGAAAACCTTTAATGTTGTAAGTGAAATATTTTCAGGCTAAGTGCCTTCCTGTCTTGCTCCTGTTTGCTTTTAGACATAGTGTGGGGGTGATACATGCAGGGACAGGGGTAGATTCTTTGTCACTTGTAATCTACCTCCAGGTCCCCCCAAATCTTGACATTTTTTTGTTTTGGATGTGGGCAGCCTTCCTGGCTGAGCTGCCTCAAGTCACCCCCTCCACCACTGCTTGAGTAAGGGCAAAGCCTGAGAGTGAAGCCAGCAGCCAGAGGACACCCTGCTTTTCTCCAGGTCTTCCAGTTTTTAGGGATCAGGATAGGACTTTGCTTGCCCAACATGGGTAGGGATCAGTGCCAGGATGTGTTCCTGCAGGCAGCTCTCGGAGACACTCCTGCCTGAGGCAGGCCACAAAGAGCAGGACAGATCTCCCAGGCAGAACTGAAATGCCATATTTCTTAATGATTTAGTTTTGCTACAGCGGTGAGGGGTTCATTAGAAATACATTGTTAATTAGCGTGAACAGATTTGCTGGAGTTGCAATACATTTGGGGACTGAATGTTTGCTGTATTCCGAAAGGGAAGTGGGAGGGCTCTTAACTCTCCCTGTCGGCAGCAGGACCCTCTTCTGCAGAAAACCCGGTGCAGGCAGTGGGTGTGCGGCCCAGCAAGGGCTCTGCACGTAGGGAGGACTCGACAGGGGCTGCAAGTTTGGCAATGGGCCAGGGCCTCGGCTGCATCACTTCGCTGCTGTTTAGCTGTCCCACATTAAAACGAGCTCCCAGTGAGCTCATGGAAAAGGCTACCCTCCATCAGACAGGAAGATGATGTGCTGCCGTCTTGCTCAGACAGTGGGGCTGGCACAGGAACTAGCAGCCTCTGCTGGCAGGTGTGTTAACTCTGAAACCTAACGATGGCTTGTCGGTGCTAGCTCTGATGGATGCTGTCTTTCAGAGCAGGCGCAAAGTGGTGACCCGGCACTGAGGTGGGGGCGAAGGCTTGCAGGAGCCGGGTGATGCTGCTGCCGGTACCTGTGCAGAGACAGGGGCCAGGGCTGGGGCCGGCTAGCGGAGGTGGTGGTCGGAGTGTGCTCCCTCACGCTGTCCTCTTTGCCCCCGCAGCTCCGTGGTGCAGCGGGGAGGCTTCCAGGTCTGCCCCTCCTTCATCGGCCACGGCATCGGGTCGTATTTCCACGGGCACCCCGAGGTGTGGCACCACGGTAAGCGGCCACCGCC